CCTGATTCGTTCCTGCCAAGTGCTTGACGACCACTGATCAACTCTAGTAAGAAAACCCCGAAACTGTACACATCACTTCTCTCTGAAAACTCCTCTGTTGATCTTAACCTTACAAAGAAAGATGCATAAGTCAGACATTAGCATAATGGAATTTAACCTCTAAACTCCAACCAAGTGAAGTTTTGTGTATGATATGTTTATAAATACAATTTATAGTTGGATCAAAGCAAAGAAAATCATGAAAGGTAGCACTCAAATTCAATAATTTATACATATAAACAGGGAACTACTGGAGATTGCGTTAGCAACTTAGTCAAGTGCTTTGTAACCATTACCCATATCTCAAGATACAGCAAACCTCTCTCTCTACCAGACACCAGGCTGTGGGTGTGTTTTCCAGGAGACTCGACTAACTTACATGTGGATATGCCAGTTTAAGAAATGTTTGGTATTTCACCAAACATGCTTCAAAGTTAGAATACTTACTCCGGGTCAACAAAGCAATCAATTGCTGAAGATGATCCAGCATGATAGCCCTCAGCCAGCAATTTTTGAAGTCCAAAATCAGAAACCTTGCAAGTCAAATTTTCATCCACAAGCATGTTTCTCGTTTTGAAGCGCATGTGCAGGACAGGAGGCATCAAACTGTGAAGATGCTCAAGTCCTGATCCAAGATATTTATGTGAAGTGTCAAAACTATTTGTATCTACTGTAAATAGTAGGGCGAAAAATGAAACAGCCTGCTAACCTTTTGCTGCACCCAAAGCAATTAATAACCTCTGCCGCATATCTAGCTTTCCAATTGGCAGACCTTCACTATCTAAAAAAGGCAACTGCATTTAGAAAGAAAGATAGAAATATGTATATATGCATATCAGATAACAAGTGAGAGATAGAGAGTACCATACAGATGGTTTCCAACATTTCCATTTGGGAGATATTCATACACAAGCAACTGCTGTTGGTTCTCTTCACAGTAACCAATAAGCTTGACAAGATGCTTATGGTGGACACGAGCTATGTGCTTTACCTTGAACAAGTAAGACAAGTCAGCATACTCATCCTTTATGCTGCAGACAGACCTCTCAAAACAGAAAGAATATCAAAGCAATAGTAGCAGTTTCTCCAAGCATATTTCCAAAAAATTTATAGAAACAATCAATAGTTGGAGAAAACTGAGAACTTTTTCTTCTTTAGAATTTAGTAAGTTAGATTTACCTCGTGAACAAAAAACTGAATTGGATACTGTATGTGTCTCTTGATGGCCACAACAGATCCATCTTCAAGCAATCCTTTGTAAACTAAACCAAACGCACCTCCTCCTATAATATTACCCCAACTAAAATTGCCCGTAGCATTCTCCAGCTCTGAAATTGTAAATGGCCTCAGATTCTGTGTATTGAGAACAGAGAGATCTACAGCACCCGGGGAAGCAAACCCTCTTTCCCACTCGACTGAAAGAAAATAACATTTATGCATATTAAGTGAAACTCATCCAGTAGCACCCTACAAGTAAAACTCATTTAGTAGCCCAAGCATAACCTTAAGTATGCTCAGGACTCAGTAGCATCCTGCATCTAAACTGCGTGATGAGTCATCCTATACGTCATATAGCATCAGCATTTCACTCTTATGTCCATAACAGAAAAGCAATTCAATTTTTTACTATATTTTCCATGTAGAACACAAACTAGATAAAAGAATTAAATTACCAGTAGGTGATGGCTCAGAAGAAGCCGTATCAGATGCTCTCCTTATTAATCTTTTTAGGCGCATCAAGCAGAAGTATACTGTTGCTACAATTACTACCACAACCAACGCAGCAGCAGCACCACCAATAATGGCAGCTAATTTCTGTTTGCTTGGTTTTTTTGAATCAACTTCTTGTACTGGTGTGTATGTTGGAACATTGGTACCCTCATCCAGTTTTGACTTGATTGTTGTGGTTCTTGACCTGAAAAAATTTTCTTCTAATCAAGTGTGGAAACGAGACAGCTATTGACTCAGAAGGTTACACTGATTATGCTAGTCCGCGGAAAAAATCAAACAGATTGTGGGATGTTAGACACAGGGTAATGCTCCAATAGATTATTTAAATCCATTTCTGGTGAAAAGAAAAAAGACACAATTCTGAATATTTTAGAATTACCATGAATGAGTAAAGAAGATGGATTGCATCCATGGTCCAACAAGAAAACTACATTACCATATGATTATAAACAAAATGAAGTCCTCCTACTGGTGTCCTACAAGGCAAAAGAGATAAAAATAATGTCATNGAGACAGCTATTGACTCAGAAGGTTACACTGATTATGCTAGTCCGCGGAAAAAATCAAACAGATTGTGGGATGTTAGACACAGGGTAATGCTCCAATAGATTATTTAAATCCATTTCTGGTGAAAAGAAAAAAGACACAATTCTGAATATTTTAGAATTACCATGAATGAGTAAAGAAGATGGATTGCATCCATGGTCCAACAAGAAAACTACATTACCATATGATTATAAACAAAATGAAGTCCTCATACTGGTGTCCTACAAGGCAAAAGAGATAAAAATAATGTCATGTGACCTATTTGACACGAGAGGAAATATTGCAGTTAGAACTTATTAGGTTTATCCTATTTGACCTAGAACTTTCCGGTATTAGGTAGCTAGGTCATGCAAATGATTTCTGCTCNTGTCATGTGACCTATTTGACACGAGAGGAAATATTGCAGTTAGAACTTATTAGGTTATCCTATTTGACCTAGAACTTTCCGGTATTAGGTAGCTAGGTCATGCAAATGATTTCTGCTCGGGATATATACTAATGTGTAAGTTTGTATATGTGTGTTTAAATGACTGAAATCCATACAATGAGGCTGAATATTGATGCAACTAGATCACTAAACAAGGCCTTCCTATAAGCAAGTTCACAAGTAACAACATTTAACATCTTATATAGAAACATTTTTTCCTCCTGACAGATTTTCCATGCAGCTAACCAGGTGCTTGGAGCGGATGTACACCTGGTTGAGACCTAAAAACTTCATGGGGCTGTTGACATGCATGTATATACATAGCAAGCTTGCACACAGAGGAAATCTAATTCTAAATTGTTGTATTATGTTCATAGTATGCATTGCAAGTAGTAGCTATCACTTATATACATAACATCCATGACATTAAGAAATGACACACTGGCCTATGATTCAATTGAATACATGGTCACATAACAAAATTGGGTGGCCAAGGAACTCCATGTAGCTGAACCCACAAAGCCTTTCATGCTTTGTTGTTGCCTGCTTCTTGGACCAGTTAATGGATTTCTGTCTTTCTGGTTAAATTCAAATACAACCATGAATAAACAGTGAGGAGAGATGAAGAGGAAACTTACAATGAAACAACACTCAGATCTTTCAGCTTATAACAGTTGACACACTCCCATTGTCTCCCTGCGGGGTATTTCCCAATCCTAGGAAACTCTCGAGAATTGGAAACTGTGCTTTTGAAAGCAAGTAAAGCTTCAACTACAGGAATGGAAACAAGAAATCAAATCCTTCTGTGGCAACTTTATGTGACAATAATGGGAAAAATATTTGGCAATCATCGATGAGAGGCTAGTTGTTTCAGAAAAATTCATGGTTTTGTGAAGCAATAGTAGGTTTACTTCTTGCAGACAAACACATTTCTCATACAACCAGACTCACCTGCTTGTGAAAGGAAATTTAACAACAGTGCATTTTATCCAGCACATCTGCACACTAGAGATAAACACATAGGAACACATAGAGCACTTTAAGGTGGAAATATATAATTCACTTCAAATATCGGATTTTATGCTGAAGCCAGCCTGCGGTGGTTTAACCACACCAGTCTATTTGGAATATCTTTCCAAATACGAATTGAATGCATCTGTCTTGGATGATTCACAAATCTAGGATGTCCAATGTAGCAGTCATTAATACAATNTTAACCACACCAGTCTATTTGGAATATCTTTCCAAATACGAATTGAATGCATCTGTTTGGATGATTCACAAATCTAGGATGTCCAATGTAGCAGTCATTAATACAATCCCAAAGGCACCAAAAAGAAACATGTTTAAGTATAATTCAAGGCAAATGATTGTACAATTTCAATACTAACAGCATGCTATATAGTGCCTAAAGAAATATTCGAAATAATGCTTTCCAGTTCGTCCAGATTTATACCAATACAAAATCAACAAAAAATACTATCTCAATCTGCAAGTTCCATATCACATTGCGATAGGAAGATTCAAACAATGATTTCCAAAAGGAAAAAAAAAAAAACCTACCATGTAGTTTGTGGGGCCCAAATAGCTGAATCAATATAAGCAGCGGCAGCGGTCGCCACCAGAACAATGGCATTGTCAAAAAGCATCAATCTTCTGAAGTACCCAACAACCGATACATTTCTAACAATTTTTGGGCCTCTAGGGGTCTTTCCATTGGACCCAAATTCTGAAATGCTCTTAGCCCCTTAATCATCTGAAAATGCCAAGAATACAGAACTCATAATTGCTATATGAAATCAGGCAAGTCAACCTCACTGATATGAAGAAGAAGTGCTTGGTGGTGGCAAAGAATTCAATAAAATGTGCAACCAAACATAAAAGAACTTCATACATAGTTAACAATTACTACTTTTTCTTTGCTGGGCTAAGTATCAACAATTGCCCAACTACCAAAGAGCAAGCAAACATAAAGGATAAACTCAACAAAGCCTTATCCCAACCTTTTTGGATCTGCCTGCAAGCAAACATAAAAGATACCAGGAAAAAAATATGTTCGGATTTGAAAATAAAACTATGTAAATGCAACAGGAACCACCGAACTATCCAATAGATGCAATGAAGAGAAAATTTCATGGTACCCATAGAGTTCAAATCCCCACGAGGATGTTACAGTTTGCAATCTTCAAATCAAACACCACTTTCTAATGGTAGAGGTTTGGTGTGGAGAAGATGGAAAAGAAGAACAAAAGCTTATCAATGATTCTGGCAAAATGAGATACAACCTCCTAATCAAGTTGAAGAAAAATTATTGGTTCTAGTTGAATAGAATTCCAGCTAAGGTTTCTAAAGCTTAGGTAAAAGAAAAGAAAACAAGACATAGAAAAAGCTGACCATAGGAACCTTGTCTTTTTCTGAAATAGTCAGAAACATACCAGTTTTTCTTCAAAAGCCTTAAACCCCACAAATTCTGGTTTGTCAGGAAAAAGAACACAAATTTCAAATCCCAAAAGATTCCCAGGAATCCCGAAAAGTAAAAGCAAGCAGAAGGCACACAGCAAATAAATGTAAAAAATCAGATAATTCCAGAGTTTCATAATTCATTAGCCAATACATTAAATAAAAAAAAAAACTCTATACGTGTCTTTTAAACGGTGAAAAACAGAGGTACAATACCGAACAGTACTTTAATCGGACCCCGTTGCTGCAGTTTTAATTGAAATTCATGAACTTGATCCTCCAATCTTCTCTCAGAAAACCTCTGAATTCTCTAGACAACTGAGTAATGCCACACTGTGGAAACTAAATTCTGTCATTTTGTTGCAAACTTGGTCTAATCATTTTTCTTTAAATTAAAAAGAGGGACTCTATATTAAACTCAAGAGAAGAAGATCATGATATTAAATGACTTTCCTAGAAAAGCAACAATCCAGAAAATGATCTGTCAGAAAGCAAAAAAAAAAAAAACAAAATAATATAATAGCTAAAGTTTAAAATGACAAAACAGGTTTCCTGAACCCGTTCTCCTGCATTTCAGTCCTAGGAATAGGTCCACAATGACAGGAAATAGTCAAAACACAGACAAACACATCAATACCAAAAGTACAAGAGCCATTAAAGCTGTCAATGGCCTGCAAATATTATGGGGATGAAGAGAATTGATCATGAAAAAAGAAACAAAGCAGCTTTGGTTCAACTTACCATAGAAACAAAGAGAGAGAAAGAGAGAGAGAGACTGTTACAGCTCATGGGTTGTGCAGCCTCTGCATTGAAGAAAGAGTAGTGTCGTAATTTGTAAAGTCAAGGAGGAGAGGGAGACAAAGATGCATATTTAATGGCGCAAACATGTTGAAAGGTAGGACCGGATGTTCCTATCGGACAGCCAAAAACAGCAGTTGTTTTTTTCATGGTGGATGATGAGGCGTTGGTTTTCTGGCTTCTTCACAAGTCACATGGGACAATTTTCATGACTGTTTTTACCACTTGCATTCATTGATGAACTGCTAACACCATGTATCAAAGAAATGCCCGCAAGAGGAGTTAAGTTATCACTTCTCGAAGTCATTATCTATGTTAAAATTGTGAGAATCACTCTTTATTTCTCATTCTAATAATGACCTCGTCAAGCATGGGCGGAGCCACATGCACCCCCTCACTTTTGGACCACCTTATATGAGGACTCATTAAATTTATTTTATGCATTATATTTGCCCTCCCTAAATTTTTAAAAATTTTAATAATGATTTTAGTCTCTTTTTTTTCAATAAATTAGTGGTCTACTATCTCTTTAAAATAAATATGTTAGTTTTGGATCGAGTCAATCAAATGTAACTATCATGATCTATTTGTACATAGACAAAAATAAAATATTTCTCTTTATCAAATACAATGTTCGTTCCTTTTTAAAAATAATTTTTAGTTTTTATTTATCATTTTTTAGTAATAGTAGTCTATAACCTAATAAAATACGATTGTGTACAAAAGACAAAAGGTTGTAACCCAAAAATATTTCAAGCTATTTCAAATAGAGAATTACTCTATAAGATTGATAATGATCTCAAATAAATAAAAGAATAATTTTACTATAGACTTGTGATTGTGCGCATTAATAGAAAATTAGGAAAAAATTAATTTATATTAATTCATATACAAAATTTTAGAGATTTTAATTTTTTTTTTATTTTATTGAAATATATAATTAGGTTAAAATGTACTAAAAAAATTATTTTGTGTCTTTTTATTTTGATTTTGTTTCAGCTAAATAAAAATTGAATTTACTATTTCATAATAATTTTGTCTTGATTCTTACTTTTTTTGTCATTCTTGAACTAAATATTTTCGTATCAATTTCGACTAAATATATTTTTTTATCAGTTATATTTTGCCCCCTCATATAGATATTCCTGACTCTGCCCCTGTCATCAATTGATAACCCACTTCTAGAATTCGAATTTTGATCATTTTTTAAAAGTCACAAGAGATTTATCTGTCATAAATATCCTAATTTCAACATAAAGGATCTGTTTTTGACCGGACACTCCTGATTATTGAGATACGCTTAAACTGATTTGAACACCACTGACCACTGGACCAACAAACAAAAAAGTAAAGTAATAACTTTAGTATGTTATTGAAAAAATACTTTCTGATATTATAGATGGGGGTGAGGGTGAGAAGCGGCAATGCACTAAGAACAAAAAATGTTTATTTTTTATTTATCAAAAAAAAAAAAAGACATGTTGCAATCCAAAAAATATAGTTATGCGGCACAATATTTGTGTAACTTTGAATATATGACAAAAATAAAAAATTAATATTGAAAATATTTCAGCATACATAGTAAATTACGATTCTCCACATTGAATATCAATGAATTAATTAATCATTGAGTGACAACGGCTATAGGATTAGGGAAATCCTCTCTCTCTCTCTCTCCTTAATCGATCCCATAATAAGCATCCTCTTTAGAACTTTTGTTGGCAGGCTAATTGACATCTCCGATGACATGTTAGTCAAAAAGGGTAGTTGAGTTTTCTTTTTCTTTCTTACTTTGTAATATATGCTTGTTTTTTCGGCATTTTGTGTATGTTATTTTATGTACAATGATAAGTTAATGTTACAATGTTAACGATACAAACAAAAATGTACCCACATTATCATTAATCTATAAATTAGGCACTAAAAAAAGAGAACCTAAAGAAGACAACACAAGCAAAAAAGAATAAAAAAGACAACACCCACATTGTCAAGGATTGCTAAACATCTAATGAATGATTCGGGTCAGAAAAAAAAAATAAATCATCATAAAGCTATGGTAACATGAAAAAGAAATTTTTTTAGCGGAATTATTAGAACTAAACTTTTTTAATCATTTTTAAGACAGCAAAAACTGTGTGATTTATGAGTAAATATTCAATGTAATAGTGATAGTTCGGTTGAGTGCGTGGGGGGGGCTCTTGTTGAGAGTCTGAGGGGGCTAGTTCACTAGTCATGGAAAACCTAACATCTGTCTACTCGAGCAACAACCCGTCAAAAAAATAATTGCTAACATGATAATTAGGTCGTTAATTATAATTTTATATAATTGAGGGTTATTTTTAAAAATTTCAAATGAGCAAATGGACTTTAAATATAAATTTATTTTTGTAAAAATGAGTCGAATGACTATAATATAGGTCATATTTTATATTAAAATAAAAATATTATAGTATCTAAATGGAAATACTTATATAGTATATACATTATGCAAGTGTCAAATGGATGGGGATGGTATGGTGTTCAAGTGACAAGTGTTTCTATATATATAAAAAAAAAAAAAACAATGACCACAAAAATTGGGCAACTGTCCACTTACTTCACCATGCTAATGTAAGCCAACTTACGTAATGGCCTTGTGGGCCAAATGAAGCCTTCCTGTGTTGGCTATTTCTGCCTCTACCAATGAACAAGCCATGGGAAGAACGGAGAGAGAGAGAAGGAAAGAAAGAAAGAAATTAAAAAAAAAAAAAACTTATGAGATTTTAAGTTAAAAATTGAGCAATGATTTTATTTTAAATTGCTATCAAATATTTTGTTAATGGTACTTTGAAGTTCACATCTATTAGAGTTATTGATGATTTTGAGGTACAAAGTAGTATACAATAAAATTTCTTTGTAAAGAGTGTCCTTTGATTATTTGAAATTTGTATTCTTATTGACTATTCTGATTGATACGAAATTCTATCAATTTTATTGGTCGACCAGTATTTTGGGCTAAATATTTTGGGATTAATTGGTACATATATAAAGTGTATTTGGGGCATAATTGTTAAAATATGATTATGGTCCTACGGGATGTAATTGCGATCATAACCCTATGGGGTAGGATTGACTAGTATTAGTATGAATTTATATGCTTAAGTATCACTTGTTATGTCACAAAGAGTAACAAAGTAAGAGGCTATATTTGCTAGCTGGTGAGTTATGTGGTGTGTCGAATGTGATTTTTAATTTTGTTATTCATGATCCTTATCATCTGAGTTATTTGATATATGATCATTCATATTTTTTGTTTGTCGTTGAGCACATTATTTTTTGTCATATTGTATACTTCTTCGCCTTTAATATTTTTTCAAAATAATCTGGGAGGAAATGACCAGAATTGATATTTGAGGGATCGAAGATGGACGAATCTTGATATGATTTTTAAATTTTGTTGGTATTGGGAGATCAAAATTGTGATTATAATCGAGGCAATT